TAAGCCAAAATCAATCATTCTTATCAAGAGTGATACAAAACCAACCTGGTCCACTTCCTCTAAGCGCTTCCTCTCACTCTTCCGTATGTCAATATTGTGATGTATTTGGAGGTCAAGCGGATGCCCTTTCAATGGTATAGAATGAAACTCAGCCAAGCTTTCTCCCCCTGCACGATGCTCATCCAAATCAGTTCTCATAAATCCTTTCCCATCGTTCTTCTAAGTCTTTTAAAGGAGTGTTAGGGGAGCTCTGTCCATGATCCAGGCATCTGGCCCACCTCCCTTTCCAGTCACATAGCTCATCAGTGACACTTTTCATACCATTTCATTAAGAAGTAAGTGACCGATAAGATGCTGTAGCCCCCCCCTTAGACTGGCCTACCATATGCTTTCTCCATTGTCCTCTGGGTCACCTACAACTTTGACTCTTCAGAGTATTCCACAATTCACCACAATAAAGTATCATTAGGAAAATAATGAAGTTGAAAACCTGGTTCTGGTGTCAGGAGAAGTTTAGAAGGACTTCATGATTTTCTATCTTCCAGCCCAAATTCTTCCTCCTTGTGAAATCCAGACTCAACCCACCAGCTAACTGCACAATGAATCAATCAAAGATCATTTATTGAGTACCTTCTGTAGGCCAGACACAGCAAATACAAAGTTAAAAAAAAAACACAACATAAGGAGATCATAGGATCAAAACTCTACAGTGGTGAGGACCCTTAGAAGGCCACCTAAGAGAATTTCCTCATATAAAGATGGGGAGACTGAGGCCAAAGAGATAAGGTGATTGGCTCCTGGTCACGTGGACCAGTGACATCAACCTCAAACAGAAAGAGGGGCTCACTAACCCATACACAAGGATCCCTACGGGCTGCATACTGACTTATTTTTAAAATATAATGTTATCTATGCTTTATTGGATTTTTATTTATCTTGTTAAATATTTCCCACACATTTAATCTGGTTCAGGCCAAATACCTCTGACAAAGAAGACAGAGCTGGTTTTGAATCCAAGTCCTTGGATGCCAAATCTCATTCTCTTTTGGCTCTATCGGAGCTCGGTGAGTCCAAGTGACTTATATAATGATGTCCAAATGGTTTCCAAATGTCATCTGTTGATATTTGCCTTTTTACGTGATTAAATTTTAGAGTTTCTTTCACATTTTCCTTCTTTTGAGGTTTTCTCTAAGTACCGACAGGGATACTCAGGATTATCTATTTCAAAACCCCAACAATCAGTGAGTTCATAGGTGTGGATAACCCCTCAATCAAAGGAGAGGCAGCATCACTCATCAGTGACTTAACAGACAATCCTGGGGAGTTGTGAACATGAATATAGTCACCCTGTGGAAAATCTGGTCGTGAGCCTCTCTGCCTTCACTTAGATGGTCCTTTCATGAAAAACCTAGAGTCCATTATCAGGGAACCCTCTCTACCAATGCAGGTTGAAATCTTCTTTGCAACTTAGTGTCTTAGAAATTTGCCTGGGGCACACAGAATTCAAGAGACTTGTCCAAGGCCCTACAGCCAATATAGGCCAGAGAAAGGACTTGAACTTGTATCTTCTTTGGCTTCCAGGCTAGCTCTCTACCCACTACTGCATGGTGACTCTCCAATGGCATGTGGTAGGCACTTAATAAATGCTTGCTGACTGACTGGTAAAGTCTAAGTTATATCTTACTTAGTTTTGGATGACGGCAGAGTTTGAGGCAGGATCAAAGAGGCCGAGTGAACAAAAAGGGGGAAGTGTTGGGAAAAAAAGAGCTTTGAGGAAAGTTAGAAAGTCCCAAGGCCTATTTCAATAATATATTCACATTGATGAAAAATAGGCTTACTCAAGATATTTCTCCAACCTCTTACTCCATGCCATCTCCATTTGAGGCATCTTCTCCACCCCCCCCACCAGAAAATCGGACCCACTTCTAGCATGGGGGTAAAGCACAAGCCAGGTTTAGCTTGATCTCGTCCAGATCCAGGCCTCCACATCATCTCTTGGCTATCTCCATGTCAGACTGCCACGTACCTTGTATGGACCTAGCTATGTTCATGTTTTCTCTCCCATCAGAATGTGAGTTCCTGCAGGCCAGGGGCACTTTTGTCTTTTCTCTGTCCCTCCAGTGTTTAGTTCAGTGTCTGGGACACAATAGGTGCTTAATAAATGCTGGCTGATTGACTGAAATGGTGGACAGAAGAACATTTGACAAGTGACTCAATTAAGTTTGACCAGCATGCCAACATGCAGTTGGAAGGGGGAGGACAAACCCTGAAGATGAGAATGTGACTTGTCAAAACATGGAGCAATCTTCTCCCTCAACGACAGCAGAATTTCCACATTTTCCACTCCAACATTACAGGTCGATACACACTACACAAGGAAGTGCTAAGGACACTACGGAAAAGAAAGAAAGAACAGAGGGCCCAGGCCAAGGATACGTGCAGTTCTGTGGCAGAGGGAACAACTCTGAAGGCATTGAAGGATGTCACCACAAGAAAGGCACCAGCTCTGGAATCAGAGAACCTGGGCATGGATAATCACTGTGTGATCACAGGCAAGTCATCTTCCTTCCCTAGGCCTCAAGTACCCCCTCTGGAAAAGGAGGGGTGTGGGGCCCTTCCCCCGAGGGCCCTTCCACCACTAGGACCACGGTCCAGAGCTTCTCTCAAGATGTCTGGAATCTGTCAAATGTTTGGGGGAGCAATCATGGATGCGACTACTGAGGCAGAGAAAAGTGCCATCAGTAAAATCCCTTCTCTTCTGTCTCTACAAAATCTTCATGAGAATGACTGACGTACAGACTCCAGTCACCCTGGATGAAGTCACATGAGAAAGGAACAGGCAACCATTCCACAAAGTTAGTGAGCCGCAAGTGATTAAAAAGTAGAGAGTACCCAGGATGCCACTGGGTTTTATTTGTCCTTACAAAAAACAAAATGCAAATAACCTGAACGCAGAACCATAAAGGAATGGCTGTGGGACTTTGACATTAATGTCAATAAGCATAAAGAAATATAGACAGATCTATAAACAATGACTTTAAATGGGGGGAAAAAACAGAACCAGAAAAACCAGCATATGCTAAGTGTGACTCTCTAGGAGGAAGAGGAAATGAACTAAAATATTCCAAGAATCCCTGATGGAGACAGAGGAGAGAATGAAAAGTTGGATGCTTTGAGGGTGGAAATTCATCTATTTAAATAAAGGTTGCAAAGCAATCTCAGTTAGCTGTATTGCTCTTTAATATTAAGAATAAATCATTTAAAAATAAAATTCATTTCATACAAAAGCAAAAACATAATTGGATCGTTTCAGACTTTATTGACAATTTAGCACCCACTGCTAGCTTCGGCACCACCTGCCACCATTACCAGGGAAGTGGGAGGCAGAAGGGGGCTACCCAGGGCAAAGGGCCACGTGGCATTTTTACCTATGTTATGGAATCCTACAGTAAGCCCTCCTGACCCTCTCAGAAAACAGCCATGGCCAGGTGACCAATCCTGAGCTCCCTTCCAACTCATGGATGACATTTCTCTAACTGTTTATCTGTCAGATTTGCCTCACTACACTAGGTGTATCAGACTCGAAAAATATGCGGTGTAGAACACCCCATCAAAATCCATTCTAGGGGCAGCTAGGTGACGCAGGGGATAGAGCACCAGCCCTGAAGTCAGGAGAACCTGAGTTCAAATCGGGCCTCAGACCAAACACTTGACACTTACTAGTTGTGTGACCCTGGGCAAGTCACTTAACCCGAATTGCCTTAGAAAAAAAAAAAAAACATTCCAAGACTTAACACGAACAAAAGAGGTCCTCCTTGGAAAAGGGGCTGCTGATTTTATAAGGAGGAGGCAGTTCACACCTGGGCATTAAACCCTGGAGTCTATTTTAATCCTCCTCCTCTACTCAAAGATCTTCTTTCTCTCTTTTTTAAGACACAATGAACCCCCACACAAATTCCTCTCTGTTTTCTAAAGACTTGTTTTTTATCTACTGTCCTATCTCTTTCAAAAACTGCACATGGTATTAAACACACAGAAGCAAAGTGGAATAATCATTTTAATAGACAGCCTAAAATTTTATCATCTTCTATAAGTAAAAAGAAACCAAAAAAGTGAAAGAGCTAAAAAAGAAAAGAAAAAGCATACTTAAGCTTAGCTAGAAAAGATGACATCTATTTAACTTATTCTTGCTAAAAAAAAGACCTTGTCACTCTCATTTTAAAAAGCTCCTAAAAATATTTTATGACCAATAGCTATGATTCACCAGCCACAAACACCTGCCATTCCCTAAATGATCTGCACCAAATTCCTTTTATCCAAAGGGCAGTGTAATATTTCACTTGGTTGGCTCTCTGCTACCTCCAGGAAACCATCAAGCTTTCTGAAGTACAAATAACAGTATCAACACACTGAGAGCAAAGCCATGCTTGCGCTGGGCAAGCAGGGCAGGTCATTCAAACGCTTTACTTGAGACAGTTTTCCCCAGTACAAAGAGGCTGTAATAGTAACTCATTTTGCTTCCAGCAAACTCACTGGCTCCTCCTGGAGACACCGATACTGTTTGTTTCTGCAGTCCTATGCCTCTCTCTTTTTGTTGAGTAAATGCCAGGCATCTCTTCAAAGTGGACCCATAGCAGAGGAGGGAGAAGGGGGTTCAGAAGTGGTGTGACAGGGAAATGGATCAATCTCAAGTATCAGTCCACTTAGTATTACATGTAGGAGAGGTCAATCTTTCAACATTCCTAAACTGGCTTAGAAGAATATATGCTCTCCTATTCACACGTGCAGAGTTGAGTATTTATTCATTTTCTTGTTTTTTTTTTTTCTGTACTAATCAAAACAATGACATTTTTTTGCCTCTGGACAAGAAGCTTTCCTGAAAGTGAAACATGAGCAGACAAGTAGTTACAGTCAAAAACGTTTAAATGTCATCTCAATCTCATATTCTTTTAAGAGCCCTGCCATTAACCTTCTAGAGGAAGGGGAGAGAAGCCACGTACCTGTGTGAAACAGACGAGAACGCCATATAAGAAAATATTTCGTTCTTTCACTTCCTTTGCAAAATCTTTCATTTCCATCAGTTCTTTCATTCTTTCACTAAATGACACATTTTGGGAATCAAGAAAATGCACCTGTCAAAGAACACAAGACAAACCAGTCAGGGAACCAAAGCAGAAAAGGCATTGCTTTCAAGTTTCACTTCTCAAAAACTGAGAAACTAAAAGTTGTTCAAGACACAGGGGGAAAGCGGGACATTGCAAATCATGTTCATGAGTGTGTATTAAGTTCCGCCAGATGATCCAGGCCATTCAAGTGTTACCACATGGCCAATGCTTCCGCCTGAAAACCCAGGAGTAGTAAGATGGTGTAACTGCGATCCCCTAAGCTCTAAACCAGTTGATCAAAAGAAGGTTGAAGGGTCTCCAATCTGTGCTCCTTCCATGAGAGTTTGATACTAAGGAATCTACAGGGTGAGCCACCTTCAGAAGAAACTACCAGACAACAAGAGGTTCTGTTTTGATTCAGGCTATCCATCTGCTGTCTCTTGTTCTCAATACATTACCAGCCCACTTTCCTTTCTGGTCATAGGAGTCCTACATCATCTTGCATGGCCCTCCTCTCAGGCCAGGCATCAACCCTAAAGGGCTGTGGCCTATTTAGGACCTGTCCTGCAACCTTCTGGAGTTGTCTTAATAAATATTTTGTTGACGCTTATTTCTTCTGACATCAGGATCATTTCCCAATGACTCCTCCTCCTCCACCTCCAACGGAACTATTCTGTGCAGCAAAGAAGTGCCCCTAGGTAGAGAAAATCAACACACTGGCTGCTTTGGGCAACAGGGCCTCATATTCTAGCTGCAGTTCACCATCCCCCTGCCAAGAAAAGACATGCATGTTTGATCATCGGTCCTCCCTCCACCAAAACTACTTCGTATTTATCTTGTCTATATTTTGTATACACTTATATTTGTCCATGATGTCTCCCTGGGAGAACGTTAAGTTCCAAAGGGCAGGAAACGGTTCATTTTTCTTTCTGTATCCCCAGGACACAGCACACAGTAGGCATTTAATAAATGCCTGAGGATTCATTTATTAGATTCAACATTGGCAACTCCATTGATGAGGGCTCCAGTATCTTTTAAAGCTGTTTTTCTTTCATGACTGTGGCCCCTGTGAACTTAACTCTCCTGGTTTTGTTCAGTTCATTCTGCATCAGGTCACAAAGGTCTTTACAAATATCTCTGAATCCTTCATAGCTGTTGTTTCTAATTCTGAAATAACATTTTCTTACATTAACATGCTATAATTTATTTGGTCATTACCTAATTGATGGGCATCCACTTTGTTTCTTTTTCTTTGCTATAAGAAAAATTACTGTTATAAATATTTTCCTATACATTAAACCCTTCTCTCTGTATTGGATGTCTTGGAAATAGATAGACAGATAAAGAGACACCTAATATGTTATCATGGGACCAAAGGATCTTTGTAGCTGCGTGACTTTTCCATTAGGATTCCATACTGTTTTCTAGAAGCTAGAATTCCCAATTCCACCAGCAGAGTACAACAGGGCTCCTGTCTTCCCATGGCCCCTCCAATATTCACTATTTTTGCCTTTTGTCATTTTCTCATGCAAATTACCATCACCCTTTGGCTTCCTTTCAATTTTTTTTTGTTTTTATCAACGATCATAATGATTTAAAGCCATATCATTTCACCAAGATCTAGTAATGGTAAAGAAATATGCTATTATATCAGTCTGTAGTTTGGGAATACAGTTTTGCACATGTGACCCAATCTATCCTCCTTCTGTTTAATTCTGGACTCAGCTATACAAAGTCTATACAGGTCTACACAAGATTCTTGTATTTACAGGCAGTATAGGAATTTCATCCACTTTATTTTTGAATTGTGGATGGTTAGACCAATATCCTTCATAATGTTATTGACTTAATTGAGGAGACCCGAGGAAAACTGTTAGTTTTCTTGGGTTAAACTAAATTAGTACAATATGAAGAAGGATTTTTTGAGAACCTTGCAATAAAGAAAACCTCTTTCTCTTGTTTGTAATCTAAGTGGACATTTTTCATAAGAAGGATGAACATGCATCCCTTATCCCTAGGAAAAATCATTAATGGAACCATGTCTATTTATATAATTTTGTCATAAGCATGAGAGCCACTCTGAGGAGGGCCTTCAAGCATATATTTGGTTCCATGGAGTCAAACGCTTTCTAACCACCAATGAATGTTTTGCCACAAAGGATGGTGGCATATATAGAAATGGATGGAGCTTTTAAAAAAAGTATCAATAAAACTTTTTAAAAATTAAAATAAATTAACAAGAATTAGAGGGGAATCTATCCACTGCGTTACAGTCAAGAAGAGGTCCTTGATACAAACCCACCAACCAGTAAGCATTTAGTAAGCCCTTACTGTACACTGGCCCCTGCATTAAATACAGGGTCTTCAAAGACAAAGCAAAACAGTCCCTGGCTTCCAGAGGCTCAAACCTAAATCACTGGGAGAGGAGGCACTAGTGGCTGGAGGCAGAGATGGGGACAGGGACTGGACCTGTCCCAGGTGAGGAAATTCCTTCCACCAAGGCAAGCTGGTACCTTCTTGCAAATCCTACTGTGAGAGAGGTAGCCTGGGTGCCAGGACAGCACCCAAGGCCACATAGTCAGGACTGGACAGAGGCAGGGTCTAAAACCACTTCTCTGTCTATGACGCCACAAAGCTAAAGGACCAGGGCAGTGATTCTATGTCACTAATGTAAAACACCTTCTGGAAAGCTTATTTTCATAGTCTTTGTAGCATCACAAACATACAAGATTCTTTAAAATAATAATCAAATACCTAAGTGGTTAATTCAAAGGTTGTTTTTTTTTTCTGGGCTCTTGCATTTTGCAGGGACACAATTTGCTGTTTCAGTTGCTATAGCTACACAATCTTAGCAAGAAGCATGGCACAAACTCTCTGAGTCTCAGTTTCTTCATTTCTAAAACAAAAGGTTTGGGTGTAAGCCTCTTAAGATCCCTAGACCCCATGCCTACCCATGCTTCAGCTCCAGCATTCTCAAACCTGGTCAAGGAGTATCTCCCCAGTGTTGAGTGCTGAATAAGGTCTTTGGGGAAATGGCAAGAAAAAAAAAAAAAAAAGATAAGGGTCCTGCAGATACAACATTCAAGTCACAGGAAGTTGGCTTTTTCCAAAAATCCTTTTTCACCAGAATCAAAATTTGAGGAAATGCTTTGAAGACAATTTCGTTTTTCGTTTTCTTTTGTTTTTTAACAGATGTTCTTCCTAATACAGTGAAAGACATTTTGCTGCTAATATATGAGCTTCTAAAACCCACCAAGTATTCATGTGTTACATGATCTGACTGGGGGGATAATGAAGATGAAGCAATAAAGCCAAACAATAATGCAATTAAGTCAGTCAATAAATGTTTACTAAGTGTCTGCTATGTGCCAGGCACTGTTTTAAATGCTGGAAATACAAAAAGGGACAAAAAAACAGTCCCTGCCCTCAAGGAGCTTACAATCTAAAGGGAGGTACAACAAGCAAACAAAGAGGTATAATCAAGCTATATACAGGATAAATTGTTATTGCTCAGTAGTTTCTCAGTCATGTCTGAATCTTTGTGACCCCATCTGGGGTTTTCTTGGGAGGGATACTGGAGTGGTTTGTCATTTCCTTCTCCAGTTCATTTTACAGGTAGGGAAACTGAGGCAAACGGGTTAAGTGACTCGCCCAAGGTCATACAAGCTAGTAAGTATCTGATGCTGGATCTAAACTCAGGTCTTTCCAACTCTATCCACTCCACCACCTAGCTGTCCATGGGATAAACAGGAAATAAATAAAAGGAAAGGCATTACAACTAAGAGGGACTGTGAAAGGATTTTAGTGGGTCCCCCAAAATACCTCATTCAGCACTCCACATGTGAGAGACGCTCAGTGAAGAGGCTCTGAAAACGTTGGAGCTAGAGATGGGCTATAGAGGGTAGGTTCAAGGGGTCTTAAGGATCTCTCACAATATTAGAGATACAACTCACTTTTAACCTAGGAAGGGGACAGGTTTTAATGAAGAAGAGAAAGGGGAAATTTGCAGAAAAATTGGAAAACAAACAACCCTCTCTCTCAGGGCAGCTGTGTCTGCCTTCAGACACCCCAGATGACATTGAATTCACTGTACCTGAAGCACTCCCCTGGTGGAGATTTGTAGGACTAGTTAATGGGACCCCAAAGCTAAGGCTCCTCTTGCCTCACACATGGTGCTCTTGTGCCAGCCTGCTCCTCCTCTTACCTTCATCAAGGATGACTACAAAGCTATCTCATTCATTGAAATAAGCATTAAGAAGAAAAAGTTCATTTTCTTTTACTAAGCATCAGTGCCTAGTAAGCTTTTGTGTTCTGGTGGTGCAGGGTAAACTGGTTAAACCCTTAACATATGGTTTGCTTCTTAGCAGTGTGGGTGGGCAGATCCAAGCACAAAAGGGCTAGAAAAGGTCCCTTTCTTTGCCTATGCTATCCTCCCATGGGTCATCTCTGCTCGCTGCCACAGATGCTTTGTATTTGCTTAGCAACCATTTAATAAATTACTGGACCCACGTGTATTTCCCGTAATTATTTACATCTTCCAAAAGTGTTTGTCACATGTCCCTGAAGACAGGTACATTAATTAAAGAGCAAAAATTAATTATCAGAAACAAATGCTTTAATCAATCAGGAATGTTCCTTACTTCCTGCATTCAACACTTGTACCCCATTTATTCCCTAGTCCAGCCCTATAAAAAAGCCCAACATCTTCTATCACAAAGAGAAACAGACCAGGGTTGACATGACTAAGAACAAAGTCTATTACAGAGCTCAAGGATTTACCTAAGGAATAGACTGCTCCCTACCCACCAATCAAGGGGGAAGGATTGGGGGAAAAAAAAAAAACAATGCTCTGGAAATTCTCCAAGGCTGAGTTGAGAGGAAGGGAATGGTAGAAAGAGATCCAAGAAACCCAAACCAGTGGTTTGTCCAAACAAGTTTTTGGATACGCCTGAATATGAATGAAAAGGCACAGACAGTGCTCCTCTCTTAGGCTGGCCTCTTCCTGCCTAGAGGGAACAGAAGGAAAG